ACTTTTTTTCTTTTACAGAGTATTATACACTGCTATTATAAATGTCGAATCCGCAAAAATTAAAACAATCCATTGCTTACTGGTGTCTCGCTGACACTGAATGGAAATGGAGTACAGAACAAATCTTCCAACTCGCCCTCAACCTCGGTATTGAAGGTGTCGATCTCGCGCCGCCAGAGACTTATCCCACTCTAAAGAAACACAATTTGAAATGTGTGATGTGCTGCAACGGAATGCCCGGAGCGCCTTTTATGAAAGGTCTCAACAATTTGAATAATCACGAAGAAGTCATTGCCCGCACCAAACAAGCTATCGACCTTGCCGCCGAGTACAATTTTCCGAACGTAATCGCCTTCATCGGCTACAAGTGGCTCAATCCTGAAGATCCTTCCAGCGGTGAAGTGCCGATTGACGAATGCTTTGAGAATTGCGTGAAAGGTCTTCTCGAACTGTCTACCTATGCCGCCGAGAAAGGTGTCACCGTTTGCCTGGAACATCTCAACACGCGCGATGGATCGCATCCGATGAAGGGTCATCCCGGTTACCAGGGTGACAACATTAATTTCTGCGCCGACATTGTTCGCAAAGTAAATTCACCGAACGTTCGTCTTCTGTTCGATGTCTATCATGTGCACATCATGCATGGCGATGTCATCAAATACTTGCGAGCTCATCGTGACATCATCGGCCACATTCACACCGCAGGCTATCCGGGTCGGAATGAATTAGACGACAAACAGGAAATTCACTACCCCGACGTTGTGGCCGCTATTCGAGAAATCGGCCACACCGGCTACATTGCTCACGAATTTATTCCGACTCGTGAGCCCACGGACGGCTTTTCCGCAGCGGTGAGCATGTTCAATGCTTAACAAGTGGCACTAAATATTCAAATTATCTCGGCTCCTACCTACTTTCAAGTTTAACATTCAAATATAACATTTATGAGATTTCCAAGGTCAATAAATACATCAATACTATCATCGCAGACGATGCCCGTAGCGAGACCATACCAAATCCCGCTATCTTTGCTATAAGACTGGAATCAAAAATAGCTTAGAAATATAATCGCGAGCGTTATCTCAAGCTTAGCACATAAGAAAAACTTCATGATTTTAATCTGAAGAAAAAACATCAAACATTTTACACTCCACTTCCACACTCTTTTGGAACACTAGCACTCCTTTAAGCATTCTGACTTCGTTTAGAATTTACCTAAAATTTCTGCAAACGATTGGGCTCTCTTAGTAAAGATAGTTTTGAGACGATGGTCCTCGATAGTTCGAAAGCCGTTCATATATTGTCGATTCTCTTCAGTCGAAGCGAAAGAAAATGAATTAAGGTTCATGAGCCAGCACCAACGAGGGTGTGGGTGAGTCAAGCGAAGACTCAAACCCATACCCACACGCACACCCTCTCTTTCTTGTTATATTTTTATTTGATGTTGTTAGAATTTATGTAGCTCATATGTACCTCTATAGCAAGTAATATCAGAATGGATGAGGAAATATAATTGGAGCATGTGTTAGTTGGTCTAAATTCGGCCAGCGATTATCGTTTCCGATATGGCTGATTAACTGAAGGAATAAGCGAAGGAACTTGTCATATACCAGTAAATGATCTCATTCGCAGTATCGAAAATTGGTCACTTAGAATTCTGTCCATTTTGAAAACAAAATGTGCAACTATAAATTAAGCAGTCTTATGTAAATTCTAGAGCTTCTCATGTTGCATCTTGTCGTATATTTTGTTTTTTTAATACAATGTATTAAGTAATTGAAAACCTACATGCAAAGCACGGTCATCTAATCGGTTCACCTCATGTGATCTAATACAACCAGCACATATCCTAACAAAATAAATCTTATCGAAAGTTTATTATTATAATATTAGTAGAAGTATGATCAAATAGTATAGAAAAATAGAGCATTCTTTTTTCTAGCAGACTATATAGAGGGAAAGTTTCTTAAAGTTTTTTATAAGGAGTTACAGTATCTCCACCACTACTTTTAGACTATCCTCAGTAACTAACAGTTCAACTAACAAAGCATATGAGTATTATCAAAAGATAAGAGAAGTAAATGACATAATATACACAAGTTAGATTCACAAGCTTTACTATAGGTCTTCATTTAAACAAAAAAATTCAAAAAACAAAAGAACAACAAAAAATATACGACAACTCCTATTAATAAGAAAAAACAACAAAGAAATAAATAATATATTTTTTATATAAACCTTTTTCTATTGATCGTATCAATAAAATGTTTGCTAATTTATCTGGTTGAAGATGAGTTCTTCTTTCATTTAAGATTCAACCAGAGATTATTATTATCAAGATGAAATCTTTGATCTTTTTTAAATAAGAAATACTTTAGATGTTCAGGGGTGTAAAAATTTGAAGAAGATAAAGTTAAGTCATTAACAAGACAATTCCTTGATGAATCTGATGTATCATTAAAACGAGTAGTAAGTAGACAGCAAGTGAATATCATCATCATCATCATCAAATGATATGTAACTCATAAGTAAAATTATTGTTTTAATTTGTTAGAACTAAAAGAATAAGAAATACAAATATAATTATTGGATTATTATTACATTAATTTTTGCATTTCTTCAATTTTTATTCGTATGTATATCTACAGAAGACAACTCTAAGTGTCAGTTGGTATTGCTCTCTATAACCTATTTTCGGATTTTAACTCACAAAGACCCTAAAAATGCTCTTTTTGAAAATGAAACCTCAGAATCTTCACATTCAAACTTGTAGGGTATGTAAATCTTGTCCTGTGAGCATCTCTGCTATGTATTCATGCAATAAAACCTTCGATACTAAGTGTTTTATAAAATTTAAGATACCTTGTCCAGAATTTTTGGTATGCCCTAAATAATATAGATTGATCGAAATGTCGATCTATTGATTATTTTTATATTAATTTTTGTTGAACTTTTGATTTCGAATCTATTTATTTGATATTCGTGTTGATTTTTACTTTTTATTAATTAAGAAAAAAAATTTACATTAACTATTAAAATATTGAATCTCTTTAATAAACTAAATTTGTCTGTGGTCAGAAAAAGAAAACTGTGTGAATCATATCATTTTCATAATAAATCTCACGATCAATAAAAAACAAAAAAATGGAATTATTCTAACACAACAAGAAAAATTGATTTTTCTTTCTATATTGTAGCACAAGACAATTGTCTATTAGAATATCTACAAGAAAGATATTTACTTTTCAGTTATAGGAAAAAAGAAATCATGTTCATTCGGTAATCTAACATATTTGTCTAGTCTCATTTTTGTACACTATGGAATTAATCGATTTTAAAGATAAATTCGACAAGTGATAAACAATCTTTATGTTGATCATCTTAAAAGTATAACGGAAAATAAAAATGTTAATAAAGATGTTAAACTGATCTTGTTTATATTATATGTATGTATCATATATATGAATAAATGAAAATCAGTATTTATTTGATTGTTGTTCGCAATTAACTAATAAGTTAAATATTAATAGAATAATAAGTTTAGATATTGAATAGTAATGTTTGTCTCAACCAGACGTTATTCTTTTACGTTCTCGATACACTTTTTTTTTAATTATCTTGGAAGGTTTGAGAGCTAGAAAGTTCGTTCAAACATTATTCGAAACAGCTTCAACAAGAAAAAGTTATCATAGAAGGTAATCTCGAGTCTATAAGATGTTAGGAACTCAAACCTGCTTGTGGAAAATAATCTTTATTTTTTATATGTTCTAAGAATACCTATTGGTCTTTAAATATGTAATAGTTAATTCCTCTCTCGTGAGTGACAGATTTAAGGACATATCTTATAAGCTTTCGCTGAAAATTCGAGATCACTCGAGTGTGAACTTTTTGACTCACGATTCTCACATTGAAAGAGTTGGACTGAAGATGATATAACAAAGTTCCTTGATCATGAAGATGGTTTTCCGAACATTCTAACAGAAATTTCTTAGGAGTGCATATCAAATTTTTGAATTTGGTATAGATTGTCGCCCAGTGTTCACCTTCGAGTAGCGAAAGTCATGGACCGTTTCCGAGTTACTCAACTTCTTCGAACATATTCTATTTTA